TTTTTTTTTTTTTTTTTTTACCTGAATTACAAAATCTCTTCAACAGACACAGTTCTGGGCTTCAAAATGTGTTGCGTAATGGCGCTCACAGCATGAAGAATGTATCTAGATATAAAGAAGATGCCATGAAGATGATGAAGATGCCATGAAAAAACATGTATCCAAGGGGATTTAGAACTGGAATGTGTAAACAGGGGTCACTACTGGGGGATGTGCCGCACACAGCTTTTCTTATAAATGACAGAACACTTTGCCTCCCATTTCATGGAATTCTCGGAATACCGAACATGATAACTGCAATAAATGCATTCCCTAGTGTGGAAACCTTCTGACCTCCTCCATCACTTTCTATCCCTTATGAATGTGGTGATGGATGCTCTTCTTCTTTTCTATGGTTTGATGTTTAAGGCTACAGGAGCCTTTTATATGGAAAGGCACAGCCAGTCTTCCGGGACTGTATGGGGAGTCCGGACTCTTGTGGGCCCCGCGGTGCTTTATTATTGAACATCCTGTTCAGAACAAAGCAGCCTTCCCTTCAGTCTTGCACAATTGCACCGGCCCCTCTCCTGGACTGAAATTACTTACTCTGATTCCACTGCACACTGTGAGCATCTTCTGCATGTCAATTAAAGTCCACCTCATTTCCTTGGTCAGTACTCACCGCTTTTACCCTCCACTCCGGCTATGGAATGTGTCATGGTGTCCTCACGTGTAATGCATGTCATCATTATTATTATACAGGATTTATATGGCGCCAACAGTTTGCACATCGCTTTACAATATAAGGAAGACGTTACAATCACAATACAATTCAAAACAAGATGGTAAGGAGGGTCCTGCCCCTGAGGGCTTACAATAGACCTGCATAAGACGTGATGACATCAGCAATCCTTAGACCACTAGAGCCCAGGGGAGAAGAGGCTCCAGGGACTGTTCTAGCAGCCTAGAGGTAGCCGACAGGAGTGGGGATCAGCTTTATTTGAGCCCCTAGACAAAACAAGCATTTTAACCCTTGCAATGTGAAGGGTAGCCCCACTGCAAGGGTATGTTTTTTTGTTTGCCTGGAGTTTTTCTTTAAGCTTTTAAATGCATGCAGGGGACACAGTCTACCTGCTCTGGCCGTAAAGTCACTCTGTCACTTTAAAAGTTATGCCTGGGCATTACCCAAGTTTACCCCCAAATCCTTCCTCGCTCTTCAAGATCATGTCCCTGCATATATATATTTTTTTTACCCTGTTTCTGTAGTGTGGAACAGCCTTTATTACTCCCTGTGACCTCATCACAAGGTTTGTAAAATATCTTCCAGGTGCAGTTCCTATTGACATAGACACGCTCCTAGAACTACATCTCCCAAGAGCCATATCCCTACACACAACGTGTGTGGGCAGGCTCTTGGGACTCAATGCAGCAGCATCGTATTGCTGGGAAAGAAGCCAATGTATGCATTTAGGGTCGAGTTCTGTAGTCCAGCTGACACTGCTTGCAATTTTGGTGCAGCAGAGGCACTGTGTTGTCAGCCCAAACAGGAAGTTAGGAGCAGAGGGAGGTGTTATGTAGTCCGGCAGGACTGTTTGGGATTTCACAGCAGCGGAGGTGTTTTTAGGAAGTTAGGATCTCTCTGGATCTCTGTCAGATTCACAATTATTTTTTAAAGCGATACGTAAATGTGCTGGAAATGTATTGGAGAGAGATACTGATCCCCCACTCCCCTTCCTGGACAAGCATTTTAATTATTAAAAAAAAAAAAAAGTTTCACCCGTATAGAGTGCAGGATCCTAGAAGTGCCTACACATACCTACAACTTAAAGCTTTGGCACTAGTTGGTAGTGTAGGAGCTGGCCTGCCTTCTCCTGCCCCCATACATTACTATTGTCTGTGATGGATTGCCTTACTGTCCCAAGGAATGTGTGGGGAGCAGGAGGGAGTGGGCAAGCTATCAGAAAATTACATTTTCAGACCGAGCAACCTCCATGTTGCTCTCCTGACAGGTTTCATTTAACCCTTGACTGTTTGGTCTGGGAAACAGTACCACTGTTGTCTGTGTTTGTAGTTTTTAGCGTGTTTACAGATGCATGTCCCTGTGTGTTTATAGCTGGTACTCTCCTGGTGTCTTGCAGATCACACGCAGTAACCTGAAGAGCTTCATACAGAAAGAGTTTGACCACATGAAGCAGCTGGTTCACGAGGAAGAGAAGAGGGCCTTGCACTTCGTGGACCTCCAGGAGGCCGTGGCCTCAGCCCACGTGACCGAAGTCCTCGCTGAGCTCAACGTCCACATGGGCAAATTGATGACAGAAATGGCAGAGATCACACTGCAGCTAAACGGCTTTAATCAACTGGTAATGCAAAAGTCAGAGGTAACCTGTGTGCACGCCGCTCTCCTTTGGGGCTCTTGGTGATGTTTCCATGTACTGCCTTGTCTCTGTCTTCTTCCTGCGTGGTAGTGACTGACGGCTATGTGACAGACACAACACTGCCGCCTACACAAACCCATAGCCTTGCTGTCTGAATCATGTTTAAGAAGGACTCCGCTAAGAACTGCTGACTCCACAACAGGCCACTTAATATAATCCCAATGCCATTTCAGAAAAAAACTAGGGATGTGCAGATACCAAGTACCGTACTTAGTACAAATACTGATACTTTTTCAGCTCCATTGAAAGACTAGACCGGCGAAAAACTCAAAAGTTAGGAGGCAGCTCTAGTTTTTAAGAAGCATTGGCTACGGGGCTCCTGGGATTAGTGCATCCCTGTTTTAATGTATGATTTGTTATATATACATATACATACATACATACATACATACATACATACATACATACATACATACATACATACATACATACATGCATACATTAGAGGTGCACCACTTTTAATTTTAACACTTTTTAATTTTTATTCATTAATTTTTTATTAAATATTTTTATTTTTTACTTTACTTTTAGGGGCTTCGGGGAAATATTAGGGGTCTAAACAGACCCCTGATATTTCCCTTTTAAAATGGAAAAAGAGATTGAGGACACAGACTCTACTTTTTCTGCAGCCCCTGTTATAAATGAACAGGAATCCTCTATACTGAGTGTTCCTGTTCATTTATAACATGAGGACAGAGTATGTTTACTATAACCACAATCATGAATGGACAGGAGGTGATGTAGATTACTCCCATTTATTCATAATTGAGGCTATAATAAACATACTATGTCCTCAATTATGTACAAACACTCAACGATCACTGATCACCGACTGCTTGTACCCGCTCTCCATCCTGACAGCTGTCACAGGAGGCTGAGCGAGCGGTGCGGGGAGGAGAGCTCAGCCTCCTGTGACAGCGCTGGCTGTCTCCACCCACACATCGCTCTGCCGGACTGTTACTGGAAGCTGAGCGGTGTGGGAGAAGAGACGCCGGCCGCTCACAGCACTCGGCCGCCTGTGACACTTTCTCTCCTCCCCGCTGGGACACAGAGCAGTGCCCAGCGGGGAGGAGCAAAAGAATGGATGCACCGCTGTATCGGCAGAAAAATGGCACTTACGGCATTTAGCCAAAAGTGCCATTTTCGGCCAATATATCGGTGCATCCCTAATATACATACATATATGCACCAATACCATTTTTTACAGACCAAGTATGATATTTGTGCAAGTACTCACAGATACCAATTGCTGATACCTTTTGGGGTTTTTACATTGCACATCTGTAGATACATGTACATCTTTACATTGAAGACCTGTAGAAAAAAATACACAAAGTGAAGTTCATAGGATTTTTATTCCACTTAAAGTTGGGCACAGGTTACAGAATAATGAAAATGAGACCGTATAACCATGCAGGTTATGGTGAGAAGGGACTAAAGGAACCAAATAGCCCTCCAACCAAATCAGTGCATAGCACAGAAAAGCCTTCTTAGAACAGAAGGTATTCACAAGTCTCATTCCATCACATATCCTAAAAATTAGAAGCTTATTCCTAACTTTTATACAGTGGGCAGAGCCATGCAAATCATTCCTTTTAGGCCCCATCAGCCAAATGCACATCCAAAATTGCTGGTGTATAGTACAAATATAGCCTAATATTAAAGAGCCATTTATTCTAAGCTGTGTACAGCTGTTTCAGGCTTTTTGGCCTTCGTCAGTGCAGAATAGCAAAAATAAATTGGAACGTGTCATATCTCTTTGTGGGCGTGTGTATGTGTATGTGTATATATATATATATAAACATTCTTTTTTTGTTATTGTTTTAGGGGTGCTTTCTTTGGCCTCTTTTCTGAGCCCCAATTCACACCTGAGCGCCTTGTCAAATGTTTCCTGCAGTTCAACAACGCCCACCCTGAAGAACGCAATTATTTTCAATGTCCTTCACACCTGAGCGTTGTCGCCTGTCACTTGTAGATTGAAGCTCCAAAAAGTCTATGAACCTTTTTGGAGGCGGAAGTGCATGTTTTTGTCCCCATAGACTATATAAGGGCGCCTGAAAAACACTGTTTACTCCTTCTAGTAACTAACTTTCCATTGGCTGGAAATAAATTAGGCAAGCCTGAAAATTAATGAAAAAACACAAAAAAATGCTTCCAAAATCACCTGAAATTGCTGACGCTCACAAGTGTGAATAAGGGCAGAATGGTTGCCAGGAATCTGTTTGGTGATTTATGTTCTTGCACTCTCTTCTGTATCTTCAGTGTTCTGCTTTCTTGCTATATGACTTAAAGTGCACCTGTCATTCCTACACAATGGAATCAGCCATATTCTAGGCAGCCCCATCTAGGTGAAAGAAAAGGGAGGGGGGGTGGTAACTCCTTCCATTACCATGAGGGCAGGGAATGACTGCTACTGACCAACTGTGTGCTTGTATTACATTCTGGAGAGAATTAAGCAGCTTTTATCTCCCCACTTTGCTGTAGTGCATCCAAATCCATTTCTGTTCCGTTTTCTGACCCCGAAGTGTGTCTCCGGTACATGCAAGATTTACAAAAAACAAGAATATCCCTTTTTCTTTTTAATTGAATTCCAACAGAAAAATGTGTAAATCCCGGGATAAAGTTGTGTGAAAACATTTATAAATAGACCCCTTCGTTCTTTGACCTTTGACTTTTTCCTACAGTGCTGACGTATTCTGCAGCGGTTTACAGTTAAGATTGAACCTACAGTAGTCTTTAGCTTTAAGGATGCTCTTATGACAGAGAGAAAATAAATGACGTCACAAATAATGACTCTTATTTTTATCAACGTTTTTCCATTTCCAACTGTGGCATTGATGTTGTAAAACTGCCAAATTATTAAAAATGCCGCTTTCTCACGCGATACACTTACACGAAAAGACAATAAATTCAAAAGCTTTATTTGCATACTTTTTCCCTGGTTAGAGAATTTAAAATATTTGCGGAAGGGGGTCAGCATGGCAGCCAGTCAACTAACATTTGCAGATGGAGAAATCCGCAATCACAGACTCCATATTTATCTAATGAAAGGCTTTATCAAAGATTTTTGGTATGAGCCCTACAAGGGCCCGTGGTATAATTTGCGCAGGGATCCTGTGGCTTTTAATTGGATTTATTGTTATTGATTTCACAAGTAATATCAAATGTTCTCAATGAATGAACTGGCCGATGTCTCTAAAAAAAAAAAGTTGCTTCTTAGAATGGCTGCCTAAATTATGTATACATGACAGGTACACTTTAGTCATCAGATAAATAGCGGTTTGCATTCTAAAGCATGTTTTTCTGTCTCTTCTCTCTAGAACCCAGATGAAGACTCAGGGTAAGCTTGTACATTATCTATAGACTTACTTTATATAACGTGTGTTTAAAGGTTCTGTCCATCCAAAACTGATTTTTAATTCATAATGCTCACCACACACTTTACATTTGAATATGCAATTTTCTTTAGATCTACCAACACATATATAGTGCCGGGGTCTGCCTGACTGGAAAAAAAAAATCAATTGGATCGATTTAGGTCAATTCTTCTATTACATAAATTTGGTAAATCTAAAGTTGACTGTACACACATTGTAGTTACATTATAATCTGTGTGATGACCCTAAGTCCAGGTTCATGCCTATAATGAGGCAGCCTGAGGTGTGGGGTGGTGGAAGGCAAAGTGGCATGCCTGCTGCCCCCATTCTAGCCACTGTGTCTCAGGTTGTTAAGATCCAGGCAACCTGAGTTCGACCCATGAGTGCTGTTCTCTCTCCCTTCTTGTGCAGGGTGACCAGTCTTGTATTCACTCCCAGTAGGTTTCTGAAGGCGGCGTGGTTGTAGTGGGAGGGGACCTGCTGTGTGGCAATGGCTTAAGTCACTTTTATGGGAGAAAATGTAAAATAAAATGCTGTAGTGAGAGTATGTTGTGTGAAGCATGTGCTGATACTCATACAGATAATCTGTCCCCTGTTAAACCTCCTTATGCACCCTCCAGACAGGACACCCCCCACTGCCTACTGGGACATGCAGTCCCTAAGATCAAGTGCACATCCCCGGAGTGTGATCAGTACACTCCACTACTCCACCTCCATGGTCCATCCAGGGATTAACTTTTCAAAATCCTGGAGTTCTTCTTTAAGCCGAGTGAACTTTTTGTGTTTTTTTTTTTTTGTCCTCTCCATCCCTGCACATTGCACATCATTGTTCCTTGTTTCGTCTTATTAAAATATTCTAAATATAAACTCCATGCGGGCTGCGCAGCCATTATTTTATAAGCCCCTTATTAGAAGCACTTGTGTTTGTGTTAGAGCTATTAGCAGCTTGTGTAAGCTGTCAGTGTGACACAGTCCAGACTCAGCCGTGTATAAATACATTGTAACCCTTCGGTCACAACCACCTTTTAATCAGTTGCTCGTCAGTTTCACAATGTTTCAAGAACGCTCTATAAAACAATATGGTGATGTGGTTTGTTTAATGTGTGCTCAGCTGTAGAGGAAAGCGGTGTGTTTTATTTGCACGCATAAACTTTATACCTGGGTTATACGCCTGCAGGGAAGAAAAGGGGTATGTCTGGGCAATACAGAACACCTCCCTCTTGTTTCATCGCTATAACATAAAAGGGGGGGAGGGTTGTGTAGTCATCCAAGGCTGACAACATTGCTTGGGATTTCAGTGCAGCAGAGGAAGAGTTGTCAGTTTTCTATAGTAAGGTACATTTTTTTGCAGGGATGGAACATAGAGAATTCTGCATGTATTGCAGAGATGTAATTATGTAAAATGAAACTGGCAGTTACACAGATTTTCTACTGTGCATTATTATTATTATTATTATTATTTTTTTTTAAATTATTTTGATTATTAGGAGCCAGGGGTAGGCAACCTCAGCACTCCAGCTGTGCTGAATCCACAAATCCCATCACGCATCTGCCTCTGGTAGTCATGCCTGTGGCTGTCAGAGTCTTGCAGTGCCTCATGGGACTTGCAGTTCAACCACAGCTAGAGTGCCCAGGTTGCCTACCCCTGTTATAGGCATTTCTTTAGCACTCATGTATGCAGTGCTTTACATGCTGCACAGTCACGTCAGTCCCTGCACTCAAAAAAACTTTAAATCTAAGGTTCTTATCTCACATGCATTCATACACCCCCACACATTCTAGGACCAATTTTGACATGTAGACAGGAGACAAATTACCTAGCAGGATGTTGGGAGGAAACCAGAGTGCACAGGGAGAACATGCAAACTCTATGCAGATAGTGTCTTGGCCAGGATTCAAACCGACGACCCCAGTGCTGCAATTTTTGTGATATGCTGGGCAGGTACGTGACACCTCTGATTAGACCTAGAGAGCCCAGATCCCTCGACACACCAGCCATTAGAAAACAAAAGTCTAAAGCCACATTCACGCACTCTTGTACAGATAGTAGAAGTTTCCGAAATTCCATGCAAACGCCCTACAAATTTGGAACATTTTGGGTAACCTTGTTTTGGAGTGCTGAGTTCGTAGGGTGTTCACGTGGAAATTTCCAGGTAGGAAACTCGTATTGATGTTCTGTACGATAGCACATGAATGCAACACAATAACATGACACTTTGGCCTAGAGAAGGCAAGGGAGGGCGGATGCTCGCTTTTCTATCACCAAAGGAAGAGAGGCGCCCTGTATTGACCTAAATACCCCGGGATGTCCCGCCCCCAGCTGTTGGTGGCCTATCGCAAAAGTCACCCAACCGTAATCTGGCCCGGCCACGTCTTAACCCTTTGCGCGCTCTTTTTACATGCAGTAAAACATCTGATCTCCGTAGAAGAATGAAATTACAAAAACGGAGCAAAAGAAACGGATATTTTCAAACCGTATCAACCAATCAGCTGCCATGTGTCACTTTTTTAAAAGCGCGAATCACTATTCATGTACAGTAAATTTTGATTCCATTGATTGCGACATCTAATTATGGTTCCACAACAGCTGGAGGGCCAAAATTGGCCACTGCTGAACTATACTGTTAAGTCGGTGTATTAAATAGGGATGCACCAATACTGTTTTTTCGGTTACAAGTAGCTATATATTTTTTTTACGGTACTCACCGATACCAAATACCGATACTGGGAGTCCCATTAATGAAGCCGGGCGGAGTGTAATGACTCACGCCCAGCTTGCTGATTAGCTTGGAAGCCATCTCCATGGACCAGGTGACAAGGAAGCATGGAGCCGACTTTCTGGCCAATCAGGAAGCCGGGTGGCGGGTAATGACGCTCCACCCGGCTTCCTGATGTGACAAGGGAGCATGGAGCCGGCGTCCCGGTCAATAAGGAAGCCAGGCGGCGAGTCATTACCCGCACCCCGGCTTCCTGATTGGTCGGGAAGCCAGCTCCATGCTCCCAGGCCAATCGGGAAGCCGGGTGGCGTGTAATGACAGACAGGCGGCGTTTATTTCAGGTCTCAGTCGAACCTAAAGCCCTCATATGGCTGGTGTCATAGCTGAGTGATATCCCATGCAACAACTGCAATCCAAGATGGCGCCTTCCTTGGCTGTAAAGGATAGGCGGGTGAAGTTCCATGAAGATCCTTGGTATTATTTTAATGAAATCTGCAGATTTAATATTAATCAAAATTACTTTTGAGACGTCATTAACGTGTTGATGCTCCTATGAGATTTTAGTGGTCGGGTTTACATTTCCTTTAACAAGAGAATAAATAACAAATATATTTGAAAATAACTCTTGCGGTGTGAATTGACCTTATATTATTTTTACAGCGCTCCTGATACTTTTGGGGAGAGCATGGAGTTTAATTATCTCTGCCTGCTTCAGCCTACAACACGTTTATTAGGTATAGGAAGCCATTAATCGAGTTTTTGCCGGCTGTGGCGGCTGCTTAATTTGACGACTGCTGACAGGTTCCCTTATTAGAAGCAAATCCGGCATCTCCGGAGCTGTTGTTTACAGCTATGTAGGAATTTCAGCTCTCTAAGTAGCTCTTTGCACGTCAGGGTGACAGAAAGGAGCAAAGGGCTTTTATATCACATACTTGTATCCATCAGCTCAGGAGTCGGTTGAGCTCTATTCATCTCCTAGCACATAACCTCCCCCCCCCGTAGGCCGGAGCCATGTCTATATTTGTAGTCCGGGCAACTGGGCCTAGGCCAAGGCAGGATACACAAAGCCTAACATGGTGTTTATACACCGAGTCTTTGTCATCGCTATATTCAGAAGCACCGCTGTTAACTTCTTCCTGACTACACATTCCCAAACCATTTCATCATGGTCGTCTGTCATGCTGCCTTTCCTGTCGGAAAACTTTAATTGGACATTAACCAAAACCAGGATAATTCAGGCATAAAACATGTCGAGCAGACAAAATGTCAAGATCAGCGACAAAGGTGGCTGCACTTGTATGCAAATTGTGACTTTGCTTGCAATTGTCAAGCCTGGCCCTTCTCGCCTCGCAAGCCACCATATTGGTTAGTGAGGCTGCACGTTGCGTCACGTTTACTGTTCAGACCGGTACAATTTGAAGTGCTTTGATTGTCACGCGGTAACACACGACAAAATGAGTCCCATTATTTTCTGTGGGGCCCATTCACACCTATGAAACAGGGCAGTTTCATGAGGGGCGTCACAAGGGGGGTGCGGCCCGCACCCGGGTGACGCTATTGGAGGGGCACTCGGTCATGGGCCAAGAGCCCAACAGTGTCAAGAGAGAGGAGGGGACCCGGTGGCATACCGTAAACGGTGAATTACTTTTATTTACTATCGCGCATGCACGGTCATCTTATTGACGCCTGCCGGCAGCCATCTTTGTGATGGATGCCGGCAGGCGTCAATAAGATGACCGTGCATGCGCGATAGTAAATAAAAGTAATTCACCGTTTACGTTTAAGCACCATATGACAGTATGTGACATTGGGTATTGAATAAACATATCAATACTTTAAAAAACCCTTCAAGTGTGTGTCGGTGAATTACTTTTATTTACTATCAATGTTTTGCACGGCGCCATCCGTGTGGTCACCTGGGCACCACATAGACCGTGGCAGTGCGAATGGGATTTGGACTTTGTCGTGCATGCGCGATGACGTCACGGCGGGGTGTCACCCAGGCTCCGCTCCGGCTGACACCCAGCCTCGGGGCACCCCTGAAACAGGCTTCCCAGAGACTTGGAAATTCATGCAAGTGCTTCCTTTGGTGCCACATAATGAGGGGAATTTATTAAAACTGGAGCAGACAGAGTCTGGTGCAGTCACCCATAGTAACCAATAAGCTTCTCTCTTCAGTGTGTTCAGTTAAACTTTGAAAGATGGAAGCTGATTTGGTTGCCATGGGCAACCGCTCCAGATTCTGCTTGC